GATATTAATATATATGTATAACGTAAATACACTTGACCTTGGATTGTCGAAATGTTTATTGCCTTGTTGAAGTCCACTTGAGTTAATGTTCATCCAGCCTCAGTTTTCCGTTGTGCACTGCTCCGCTTTTTCAAGGCCTGACAAGAGTGTGAAAACTCATTACAGACTGATCCCACCCCCTCTAATGCTTGAATTCTTGAAGTGCAGCACTTTCTTTTTACTGCTTGCAAGTGAGCCACACCTTCCTCATTGCTTTTGAAATGTCTGATTAAACATTTAAGTGCAGGTAATTGCTTTGCGTGATCGCCTTCACATTGGCAGTGATATTTGTAAAAACCATTTCATTTATTAGGGAGAATTGCTTGCAGAATTAAGTGTTCTCCTTGACAGTTTTATTTATAGTGGTACTTTTTACATATTCTGTACATTTGCACACAAATATGTTAACTGATCACAAAGAATAGCATTAAATTGAACTGAGTAGCAGATTTGTATTACTCTAGTCATAGAGTTGTACAGCATGGAAACAGATACTTCAGTTCAATGTCTATGCCGGCCATGTTCCCAGACTAAACTAGTCCCACGTGCCTGCATTTGGCCAAATCTTTCTTAAATGTTGTAATGTACCTGCATCCACCATTTCCTCTGGCAGTTCATTCCACACACGAACGACTGTGTTTAAAAAGAAAAGTTGCCCCTTGTGTCCTTCTTAAAACTTTCTTCTCTCAGCTTAAAAATGTGGCCCCTAATTTTGAACTCCCCCTCTGCCCCCAACCCCTAGGGAAAAGACCCTTCCTATTCACCTTGTATAAATCATAGATTCAGGAACAGCTTTTTCCCTGATATTATCAGACTTTTGAATGGACATCTCAAGTGTTAATTCTGATCTCTGTGTGCCTTCTGTGTTTGTAACTGTATTCTGCTCTCTCCTGCTATCTTGATGCACTTTGTATCATATAATCTGCCTGTATAGTACGCAAAACAACATTTTTCAGTCTACCTTAGTGCATGTGACAACAATAAATCAATAAATTTATGCCCCTCATGATTTTATAAACTTCTTTAAGATCACCTCTCAACCTCCTATGCTTCAGTGAAAAAAGACCTAATCTATCCAGCCTATTTTTACAACTCAAACCCTCCCTTCCTGGCAACATTCTGGTAAATCTTTTCTGAATCCCCTCCAGTTTAAGTAATATCATTCCTGTAGAAGGGTGACTAGAACTGCACACAATCGTCCAGAAGAGGCCTTAGCAAATTTATCCAAATTAAACTTCACCGGCTACCCCTCAGTCTACTGACCCAGTTGATCAAGATTTCTTTGTAATCTTAGCCGCCTTCTCTGTCCACTATACCATCAATTTTGATGCCATCTGTGAAGTTACTAACCATGCCTTCTGTATTCTCATCCAAAACTTTTCATCTTGCTGGATGTTGATCTTCTTTTTTTAATTGGTATCCTGTAATTAAAAGCACTATTTATCATGGGTCATGAGATAAAAATTCAGTTGATTAATGTGACTTCGTTATTCACAAACTTTACCTGCAACAAAATTACTCCATTAATTTTACTAGAGGCTTACTGCCAAACTTGCATTTATGCAGTGCAGTGACTTTTTACATTTTACATTGATAATTTTTAAAATATTTATATGGCTGATTATATTGAGTCGTGTAAAAACAGTGTGACTTACGTGAAAGCCTAATCTGATACACAGCAGTATGTATTTTTTTTATTGCATTGGAGATATTTTCATTATAGGTGTTCTTCACATTCTTATTAAATTGATACCTTTCTTGCCTTTGTTCACTGACCCAGCAAATTGTGAAAACTGTGAAGTAGGAAAACTGTGTTGGATTAGTGAATGTTGATTTAAATACCTGTTATCAATGTAAGTTATTCTCTTATACTTGAATAGTAAGAATTCCTTTTTAGAAATAATTTGCTCTCTTTTTGAAAAGGAACACAGTTTTGCTTAAATAATTTGTTAGCCTGACAAAATTCTTCAGCTGTGCAAACAGATTGCAATGACAGCAAGTCTTGGGATAAGCTTGTGACCTTCTACTTATGAGTTGGATGCTTCCTGTGCTTGAGCTGTGCTTCCCTTGTGGTTTGTGCTAAATTGTCTTTTAATTCATCTTGTACAATATCAAACAGTATAGATATTCCTTATTTTGTTAATTTTAGGAGCATAGGAACAGGCCATTCAGATACTCGAGCCTTCTATGCCATTCAGTAAAATCATGATTGATCTGTGGCCTAACTCCATATCCAATTCTTGTATGTGTATATCCCTTGATACCCTTGCTTAGTAAAATAACTTGTCGATCCCTGATTTCAGTTTACCAATTGAACGAACATTGCCGTTTGAGTAAGAGTGTTCCAAACTCCCACTACTGTGTAAGTAGAAGTACTTTCTAACATCTCTTGAATGGCCTGGTCCTAATACTTAGACTATGCCTCCTGGTTCTAGAATCTTCAACCAATAGGAATAGTTTCTTTATGTACCCAGTCTTTCTCTGTTAATATTCTGAAGACCTCGGTTAGATCACCCCATAACCTTGTAAATTCTAGAGAATGAAGGTCTAATTTGTCCAAACTTTCTCCAAACTTAACTCATGAAGTCCAGGTAGCATTCTTTTAAACCTGCGTTGAACTCTTTCTAGGGCTAACGCACCTAAAGCCTGGTGCCCAGATCTGCTCACAGTACTCCAAATGGGGTATAACCAGAGTCTTCCATAACTGCAGCATAACATCTACATGCCCCATGCCATCCCTTTAGATATGAAAGCCAGCATTCCATTAGCCATCTTGACTATTTTGTGCACCTGTTTGTGGCATTTTAGAGCTATGCACCTGAACCCTCGAGTCTTGTTGGATATCCACTATATTTAACTTTGTGCCTTCTTAAAAAATGATCTATGAAATGGATAATCTCACACTTGTTTATATTAAAATTCATCTGCCACAGCTTTGCCCATAAGCCTAATCTATCAGTATCCTGTTGTAATTTTATGCTGTTGTCAACACTGTCTACAGTGCTGTCCAGTTTTGTGTCATCAGCAAATGTGATACTTGTCTTTTTTTTAATGCTATTATCCAAGTTGTTAATGAATATTGTGAATAGTTGAGGCTCCAAGGCCGATACCTGCAGGGCAATACAATTGTGTCCTGCCAATTTGAATACTTACCCATTATACCAAAACTGTTCCCTACTACTCAGTCAATTTCTTATCCATGTCAATAATTGCCCTCAGTTCTGTGGGCTTCCTCCTTAGCTACCAGGCCCTTGTGTGGGACTTTATCAGAAGCCTTCAGGAATTCCACTATAAACAACATCCGTTGACTTACCTTAGTTCATCACCTTTGTTATCTCTTCAAAAAAAACACTGAAGTTTTTCAAGCATGATATATATGAAGCTCCTTTTTGGCTTTTTTAAAATTTCTAAATGCTAACTAGTTTTATTCATTCGGTATATTGTTATGAGTGACATCTGTAACTCAAAACAAGCTTTGTTTGGTGGAATATCCCTTCAGCGGCAAGCCTGAGAAGATCTCTGTGTTAGCATAGTGATCACATATATGAATTTTGCTTTTTACAGCAAAACCTAGGAAAGCTGCCAAAGGGAAACCAGCCCCTTGGGCTTGTCATTGGAGACAGGCCAAACAGCTGGAGAAAAGATAGTGACAGAAGCACTTGACACAGAGGTTGGGTATACAATTCTACAGTTCTACTCTGCATTTTTAGATAAAGGAGAAGGATGGAAACTTGGGAATGGAAGATAGATGGAAAAGTAAATCTGCAGTGACCTGTCAGACGTAGCTAGGATACTGCAACATCATTTTACTGTGTTACATCTAAGCCATGTATCAAAAGAGTAACAATTATGAAGCAACCCTTGGAATCCCTGCAGTGGTTTATTCATTGAATGGATACCTTGTTAAAGTTAAGATGGGTTTTGTTTTAATGATTATATTGGTACGTAATTCCTGTAACTTACCTATATCAGCATGAGAACTGTTTAAGTCAGGGATGGCCAATTTTGAGTTTGGGGGTCACATGGCTACATAGAATTTTTGGTTAAATAAAAACCAAAAGAACTGTGGATGCTGTAAATCAGAAACAAAAGCAGAAGTTGCTGGAAAAGCATAGCGGGTTTGGCAGCATCTGTGAAGAAAAATCAGAGTTAATGTTTTGGGTTTGGTGACCCTTCCTCAGAACTGATGGCAGCTAGGAAAATGTTGATTCTGAGGAACGGTCACCAGACCCGAAACACAAACTCTGATTTTTCTTCACAGATGCTGCCAGACCTGCTGTTGCCTTTCCAGTAACTTCTGTTTTTGTTCTAGAATTCTTGGTTCCTCTTTTGGCTTTTCCCAAGTTACATGGGGCTATAGTGTTAGTTGTTCACCTTGTTTATCAACCATAATTTATGGATTGAGTGTTTTATAGCCGTGTGCTGTCCTGCCACTATCCTCCACATTTATCCAGACTGAATGCTGGCTTGCATGCACTAGTTGGCTAGGTTTCATATTGGTCAGTATGTCCTGAAGTGGGACTTGAACTTGGGATCTCTGGCTCCGAGGCAGCAGTGCTGTTTACTGAACCGTTCATATCTACATTGATTATGGAGTTCAGTTACACATTTGTATTAATTTTTACTTAGCTTCAGTTAATTTTGAGAGATCTTGGTTTACTAGCGTAGGTTCAACTCACTAATGCTAAAAATTAATGCTTAATTCAAATGTAGAAAAATTTAACAGGACGAAATTGTAAGCAAGAAATACAAGTGTAAATGGGATTAAGTTGTGTGAGATTGCGCGTCATAGTTCAGAACCCACTAATTTCAGTTGTCTTGTGAAGTGGAGTAATGGGGGAGCAGCAGCTGGAATGACAGTGATTAACATTTTCTTCTGACGAATTGCAAGTTGTCATTGGATTTTGAAAAAATTGTTTTGTCAAGAAGTTTAACTTTTTAATTGTCATTTCATTTTTCAGTGGAAGAAGAGGGATTATGGGAGCAGGGACTGTCATATGAGTGCCGCACACTGCTTTTTAAGGCCATTCACAACTTACTGGAAAGGTATGTGCTGTATAATATCTTACAGATATTGCATATGCAGTGGAGTTAGCTTGTCATGCCTATTATTGACATAGTCTACTGTCTATAATTTTAAACTCATTTCTGATAAAGCCACTCAAAATTATGTACCAAAACTTTTCTGCTTTGATAGCCAGTCATCTTGATTGACTGATAAGTATTTTGAGTAGAAAATTGGGTTGGTGATGGCATTGAAAGGTTCACGTTTCTTTTGAAAATGTGATGTTTTTCTCAATTCTCTTCTGAACCAATGCTTTTAACTCAATAATTTGGTGTTACTGTTAATATAGTTATAATCTTGAATAGATGCAGAGAAAAATCTGTTGCACTTGCAATCTCTTGCAATGTGTCTGTTTAACCAGAAGAGTTCAATTGGTCTTCTCCTGCCAGTACCAATAATTTGTTTTGTCTCTGAGTGAACTTCACAAAATGTGTAAAGTTATGAGCAGTTGTGTTTTAGACTCTACTTTCGAGTTAATTTGAGTAATAGCAGATGGATGGATGTTCAGGTTGCAGAAAGACGTATTGCAGTTCACCACAGTGCTTGAGTCGCATGCATCATAGAGTCACAGAATAGTTTCACTGTAGAAGAAAACCGTTGGGCCCATTGTATCTCTGCTGGCTTTCTGTGCATTTTGACTTTGTGTTAATGCCGTGTTCTTCCCTGTAATCTTGTGCATTGCTTCTATTTAAATGATCATCAAATGCCCCCTCGAATACCTCAATTTGAATCTGCTACTACCACACTTCCAGGCAATGCATTCCATTCGCTATGTGAGAGTTTTTTTCCCTCATCTTGCATTTGCTGCTTCTGCAAAATTTTTAAAATCTTTGCCTTCAGGTACCCAATCTTCAGAGTGGGAAATGTTTCTCCTTATTTAATCTGCAAACCTGTCATTGTTTTGAAAACTTCTATCAGACCTCCTTTCAGCAGCCCCCTCCCTGAGGAAGTCAAAAGTCGCACGACACCAGGTTGTACTCCAACAGGTTTATTTAAAATCTCAAACTTTTGAAGCACTGCTCCTTTGCTGCTTCCTCTCTGAGGAAAACGGTCCCAACTTCTGCAAACTGTTGTTATTAATGAAGATGTTCAACTTTGGAAACATTCTCGTGGGGAAGGTGTTGGCATAGTAGTAATGTTACTGGACCAGTAATTCAGAACTCCAAGCTAATGTTCTGGATGAGCTTGAATTCCATCATGACAGGTGGTGAAATTTGAATTCAATTAAAAGATCTGGTCTCCTATTTGTTTACTAATATCTTTTAGGGAAGAAAATTTACCGCCTTGCCTGCATATGACTCCTGATCCATAGCACTGTAGTTGACTGTTAACTGTCCTTGTGGCAATAAATACTGGCCTAGCTGTAACATGCACATCCTTTTGAATTTCTGAAGAAGGATCTAGGCCCGAAACGTCAGCTTTCCTGCTCCTCTGATGCTGCTTGGCCTGCTGTGTTCATCCAGCTCTACACCTTGTTATCCCTTTGAATTGCTATTATGAATTGTTTTGATGAGTGGAAGATGATAAAATGGGTATTTTTAAGCAATATCCATGTTGGCTTACCTTACCTTTTAACTTTTTTTTGAACTGGGTGCAATGTTTGTTGTTCTGCAGTCCTTAGACACCACTTGAGTCCAGGGAAGACTGAAAAGTTATTCCCAGTGCCTCTGCAGTTTCCACTCTTGTATCCTTCCGTATTCTTGGAAACTTAGCATTCGGTCTTTTTGCTTTAGTAACTTTAAATATTGATAGCTCGTCTGATATTTGCGTATTCTCAGCTAAAACGCCATTTTGCATTGTATCCTGTTGTATGGATAGAACACACAATTTACCTTAAAACCCTTTTTCACTCCCCATCTATTCATACATAGATTCTATAAATTGGATCCTTAATGAGACGCATGCATTATTTTATAAGTTAGAAATTTCTTTGCTAAATTTTATTTTTCTCTCCTGGAGTGGAGTTTTACCTGTTTAACTTGATGCCACTTTTCGGTATAGTTAAAGGCTAGGAGTGTCCTAATTGAAAGCTAGGGCATCTATGTATTTTATAATGCTCTTTTGCTAACTGATTGTTCCTTATCTCTCATAATTAACACTTGAACATAGGAACATTGGTAAGCTGGTGAGAGAGGATTGTGCATACAAACAGTAGCATTTTCTACTTTTTCATTTTTACTTCGTTTTATGATGCATATATAAAACTCTTCAAGACACCAATTTGGTAATTGGGAAACATGGGTGCAATTTGAGTGTCAGCTATATTTAATTATGTTCAATTTAAGTCAAAATTCAGGCTTGGGCCAAAAGAAATTTTCCAGAATCTAGTCTTTCTGGCCTATAATCAATGATGACTGATAAGTTGGCATTCTACATGTAGCCCAGACATGGTCATCCTATAAACATATTAAACCACCTGACTAATTTAGTTGAATCATACCTAAGATACATATGGTACATAATTACAATTCATGATTACTAATGATGCAACTTTATAGCTGAATGGTCTTTCACATTCATACCTATTTTGAAATTGGAAAGGGCCCATATTGTCCCTACTGCAGTATCCATTTCTTCTGTAAAATAATTTCAGTAACTGTAAGCCAATGCCAATTTTAAATTAGTTTTCGTATGAAATCAGAAGTAAATTTTGCAGTTTGCCAATTTTAATGTCATTTTGAACCACCTGTTTGTACATATTATTTTCAGATTATACTCAATTTACCATTTACATATGGTTTATTCTATTATATGCTGCAATGAGGTCATATTTTGGCTCTTCTTTCCAGGCTGAGAAAACCCAAATCTTTGTCATAACTTCTGACATGAGGAGTATCGGCCTCCATAGCTCTGTTTGTACTGTTTCCTGTTTTTGGATGTCTCCTTGTGTGTGATCAGGAATTGTGAAGATAATATTCAGCCATCTGTGATATTGCATTATATGCATTGTGTTGTTTGCATGTCTTGTCTGATGGTTCTTCACTTGTAGCACATTGTAGATTTTAAAACTTTCTTCAATCCAGTTAAGAATTGAGGCTTTTATGTCCCTTCTGATAGTGTTTTATACACAAATAAGCTATGGGATGTCCGTTTTCTAGATTTCTGATTTTAAATCTGCTTTCTGGAGTTGAGAGATTGGTCGTCAGAAAGCTGAGATGCTGCTGTTTCAATCCAAATTTCCAGTAATAAACATTACTTTAAAAGAATAATGTTCTGGCAGTAATTGGGACAGTTTTCAAAAGGAGAGCTAGATGTTACAACTCATAGAATAGAGATTAACCTCAAGCCTTAATAAACCAAGCCATCTGAACAAAAGTTTTAAATGTCAGAATTTTCTTTTGCTCAACCAGGAATGGGAAGATTTGCAAGTGCTAGTAATCTGAAGCAAAAACAAACACAAAATGCTGAAAAAACGTGAAATCCACTTATCTATATAGAAAACCCTTGCTGATGTTTTAGGTATATGACTCTTTGTCAGTTTGGAGGAAGGACGTGTGCATCTAAATGTTAATATCTCTTAATGTGTGTTGGCCAAATATTTCCAATAATGAACATAGATATGCTTGTCTCTCCCTCCTGAAGTTCATGATTACTTCCTGACCTATTCATGGCTTAAGCATTTGTTCTTTGGCTGGGGGTTAGTATAGCTGAGTGTACTTTTATCTATTTGTGTGTATGCAGTGGAGGTTGTTGGTCTTCTAATGAAAGTACTGAAGCACCTTTAGCCCTCTAGAGTCTTAATTCTAGTACATTGACAAAAATCCATCCTGGAAATTTTAAGGAAAAATTGGCAATGCATTCCACATGCATCATTCAATAATTTTTACTTTCTTGGCAGATATACTGGAATGTGTTCATGTGGATTGAAGATCTGCTTGTAATGGAGGCATACGTTTTTAATAGCTTTCATAATAATTACCAATATGGTTGTCGCACAGTTTTTAGTACATACATAAAATTACCTGCAAGCAACAGTGTCCATATCTCTTGCACCAAACTTTTTTTGTTGTGAAGAGCTTGTCTTTGAGATTTTCTTCCTGCTTTGGCTTACCGTAAGATATAAATGAGCAGTGTGAGTCAGTATGTGGGTGGCCTATTTCGTTTTCGTAGATTAACTGTTGGGATGATGGCTGCTGAGTAAAGTCTTGAATCCTTTAGAGTTTGTGCTTAGCTGCTTTGGTACAGGTATGTTTCCCAGGTTGGTGATGGGAATAATTGTTCCTAGCATCTTGAAGAGGGATTTTGTTGAGGAGACTCTTCACTGGGGAGAAAGTGATTATCCTGTGGTTTCTTTTCTTAAATTCATGGCCATGGCCTTCACTCTCAGTATTCTATTAGACAACTTGAAGGAAAATAAAAGCTCTGATTCTCTTGCATCCAATCCCTGGGTCTCACTGGTTTAACCTTTTTGCATCAAATACAAATAAAGGCAAAAACTGCAGATTCTGGAAATCCAAAAGTGAGAGTTTCTTTCTGAATTGCTGTCAGATCTGCTGAGTTTTTCCAGCATTTTCTGTGTTTGTGTCAAGTACAAACTTTTTTCACTTGCTTCCTCTACTGCTAAATACAATTCTGTGCCAGGTTTATACTTTTTTTTGAACAGCTGTTTGCAGCTGTGATATTTGTAGTAAGTTTTTAATCTTCTCCATGACCTAATATAAAAGCCACACCAGCGTTGATTATATTTGTTTTTCCCTGTGTAACTTTTTTTTCCAGTGGAATTCCATATTTGTCTGTAGCTTTATAAAAACCGAAAGAATTGCGGATGCTGAGAGTCAGGAACAAAAACAAAGTTGCTGGAAAAGCTCAGCAGGACTGGCAGCATCAATGGAGGAAAAAACTGGAAGGGTCACCAGACCTGAAACGTTAACTCTGTTTTTCCTCCACAGATGCTGCCAGACCTGCCAAGCTTTTCCAGCAACTTTGTTTTTGTTGTTGTTGTGTTTGTCTGTAGCTTTTCCTGCTTCTTCTACTTCATTTCCATGCTACCTTTTGCTAGCAGCGAAGGTTTTATAGTTTACAGTTATCAATGAATCCTGCTGGTAAGAATGTGGGCAGTAGATGAAGAAAGGATGGGATTGTATTCTCTTCCAGTGGTTCTCAGTTGAACAGTCTGCTCCTGTTTGCATATGCACAGAACGTAGTTGTTAAGTTAAAGAACTGGAAGGTGACTGACACCACTAAAAAGTTTCAGATTAGTCATCTGAATAACACCAGCAAAATATCATAGCAAGCTGTGCTACCTCATGTAGAAGAGGACAGAGTTTATACACCAATAAGCTAATGGTTGTTCGATGAGCTAAATTTATTTTTTTAAGCAGGAAAGTCTGTTTCGCATAGAATGAAGACGCTGCACTAATGCCAGGCCTGGCTTCAAATTATTTTGGCTACTTATGCTGTAACTTTGAAGCTATTGCAAATTAAATGTTTCTATTTATATTCTGAATTATCAGTCCTGTGTGTTGTATTTGCTCTAGTGGTTAGAAGCAACCATAAATATTCAACTTCAAAAATTGTGAATTTTCAGTCAGTCTTCTAGTAATTTTGTACAATTATTTCCACCTCGCGCTGCTCATAAGCAGTTTGTTTGTCCTCTGCCAATAGCCTGAAATGATCTCCTTCTCTCCTCCTCCTCCTCCTAGCTCCCCCCACCCCCAACAAAGCCATTGGAGGAAGTTTTATTTTTCCTCTCTGCACGTTGTGCTTTGCTATGAATAAGCAGCCCAAATGATGCATTTTAAAAGTGGGATTTGCCCTCAGGAAATTGCTGTGTACTCTGTTTCTTATGCAACTTGTCCAGAGTTTTAACATGGCGTAACAACATATAATCTATAGGATTTTTTTTTCTGTAGTAAAAAGATCATGAGAAACACAGATGTTCATTTTCTGAGGCAATGCTGTCTTTTTTTTTAAACTACACTTGTTACAGCTCATTTGAAACTGTAACTGCTGAAAAGACAGAAGACTTCTAGGCACCTAGGATTCCTATTCTCTAGCCAATCCCAGTGTATGCTGTCTTAAACTGAAATTATTCAAGATCTTGCCTCAGTACCCTGATCAATTTTTTTCAAACAAACACAAATCCAGACAGTTCGAGAAAATCATTAAAACAAGTGAGCAAGATCACGCGCTGGCCACCCTAATTCTGCAGCTGTCATTCTACGCCATCTGTTGAACTTATTATAATGTATTGGTGAGCTTTTGTGGTAGATCTTCGTTAAGATGTAATTTGAGTTTTTTGAGAAGCTGACAAACAATGAATAATTAAAAGTGATTGCATATTATTTGTGACAGCTTTTCAATGTATTTTGTGCACTTTAAATCAATAAAATAGCATGCTCAGTTGACTTAATTTTGAAGCAGAATGATCAAATGGACTCTGAATCATTAGTTTTTGTTTTGCAACATTTTTTTAACTTCTGTTACATTTGGGTCTCTCCATGAAATGTTTGAATCATTCTAAGGAAATTACCACTTGAAAGTAAATGAGAACTTGAATTAAGTATGTTTTTGGGCCTCCCTTTCTGTGGTTAATGTCTGTGCGATAAGATTGACAGATTGAGCAGGAGCTCTGACATTATCAAATTTCTTGTGTTATTCCTTTGTAGAAAAGTTTTTTGTGTATATTATCTTGAATACATTTTCCAATTTTACAGTTCAGATTCTGTTTGATCCACAACCTTGTGTTCCCTATTTTTCCTTAAAGGTGCTTGTTGAACAGAAACTTTGTGCGAATTGGAAAGTGGTTTGTAAAGCCATATGAAAAAGATGAGAAACCAGTGAACAAAAGGTAAGAATGGTGATTCTTGCAGCCGGACTACTTTCTGTTTTATGTAAATCTGTGAAGTCCTTGGGTTTGTGCTGAAATTTCTACATTTCATAATGCTTTTCTAGATTATTTCTTTGAATCTGGACATTGCTGATTTTTGTGACTTCTGTAGTTTTGATAGTCTCGGGCTAGTCCCGAATGAGTTATTTCCTAAATGCATGTTTAATGCGCGCATTTTTCATTGCTTGAATTCAAAAGCATTCTAAACATTGTTGGCCTCTTGAATTGTAATGGACTGCTGTTTTCCTCTCCTGGTGACATAGACAATTTCTTCAAGTGTTGAGCATCTTCTACCACTTATTGAATCATGGGAATTTCAAAGCTTGCGACCAAGAAGGGAAAAAAACCCCACATTTTCAGAATGCCATTAATTGAAAATTTAGTATGAATTGTGTTAGATTCCTTGTTCAACAGTTAAAACTAGAAATATTTTCATCTTCCTTTTGTCCATGTGACACCCAATGTGGCATCAGCATGTTTATTCACAGAACTGGCAGTTCATGTTAGTACTTGGAGGAGTTTCTGCAGCTCCATCACCTCTGGCTTTCCTCTGGACATATTGGATGTTGCAAGTTTGATTTAGATGGTGCTTGAAATATGCTGCTTGTCTTCTTCTGGTAGTGTTCTCGGGGGGTGGTCTGCAATGGAGGTGTTAGTTTAAAAAAAAGAGTCAAACAAACCTTTGTGTTTGCCCTGAGCCAGCTTATCATAGAAGGTCTGCTTGGGGAGCCTGTAATCAACCATGTAGGAAATGGAGGAACATAGCAGCGTCAGGCAGCATCAAAGGAGCAGGAAATTTGACGTTTCGGGTTTACACCCTTCATCAGGACTTAGAGTGTAAACCCGAACCGTCGACTTTCCTGCTCTGATGCTGCCTGACCTACTGTGTACCTCCAGCTTCACACTGTATTGATTCTGACTCCAGCCTTTGCAGTTCTTGCTATCTCCATGTAGGAAATATGATTTACCATCTAAGTTCTGTTTTTTTTTTTTGGAGGGCGATTCCCATGCTGTTGAGCCAAGCATGATGGAGGACTTCTTTGTTTGTGATTTCGTCCTGCCAGTGAATTTTTAATCTAGACGTTTGACGTTCTTGGAAGCATTCCAAACTTTCGTCTGTAGCATACCCAGGATTCTGTTTAATACAGCAGGGTAGCAAGCACATTAATCTGGTAGAGTTTGATTTTAGCCTTCTACTTAATGCCATGCTGCTTTCAGACATGATCATTAGAGTTGACCTTAGACAAAACTTGCTTCCTAGACGTATGCAAGGGCATTTTCAATAGCAGCAACTCTGAGAGGACACTGCTGAGATAAGAACTTTTGTGCAGCTTCAAGACTGGTGCTATCAATGTTTATAGTGGTTCATAGCATGTGCCTAGTACCGGATAAAACATAAACAATGTTTCCAAAACTAAGCTTTCAGGACTGAAATTTCAAAGCTTTTGACATCACTTGAGAATTGATGGGAATGAATAGAGGATTGATTGCCTGCTGGAATGAAAAATGAATTGCACTTGCAACTTTTCCTTGTACCTTCTGTGGGTGGGTTACTCCCAGTTGTAGGTTCAGGGTCAAATGCTATTTTCTGATTCCTTGTCCTTTTGAGACCGAAACAAAATTATTTCATGTTAGCCAACAGGCTGTGACTAAAACTACAGGGTGTGGTCACTCAAGGGTCTTTTAATCTTCCTGTATTGTGACTGAAGATCCTTAAAATATAATTGATTTATACAAAATTCCAACAGAATAGGATTCATTCTTCATGACGTAATGTGTCTTTACACTGGGATAGAATGGATATAGTGCTTTCTGTTGTGACATACGTGGTTATATGTATTTGTGTGTGCTCCATTTGGAGTTGTCATTATCTTTGGGTTTGTGGCATCTGTTCTTGTTCAGTCAAATATACTTGTAAAAATGTCATCCAGGTCAGTTGAAATTCAGACCATCTTGCCTTAGTTTCAACTTTTTAAAATTTTAGTTCTCATGTCTGCATTGTAACATTTCACAAAAGTTGGAAACAACTTGGAAAAATGGAATCTTTCCAGCAATGCAATTATTCTAAAAAATCAAACAAATCTGAGGTATGATTAAACTTTTTTTTATTGTCTGAAACAATACTTTTTAAATAAATTCATTTGTGGGATGTGGGTGTCATTGGCTGGCCAGCATTTATTGCCTGTACACTGTTGCCCTTGAGAAGGTGGTAGTGAGCTGTCGCCTTGAACCGCTGCAGTGTGCCAGCTGTGGATTGATCCACAATGCCATTGGGGAGGAAATTCCAGGATTTTGATCCAGCAACAGAGAAGGAATGGCAGTATATTTTCAAGTTAGAATGATGAGTGACGTAAAGGGGAACTTGTATGTAACTGCTTAACTTGTCCTTCCACATGGAAGTGATTGTGGGTTTGGAAATGCTGTCTAAGGTTCTTTGGTAAATTTCTGTAGTGCATCTTTTAGATGCAACTGCTGCAACTGAACATTGGTGTTGGAGGAAGTGGATGCTTGTGGATGTAGTGCCAACGAAGCAGACTGCTTTGTCCTGGATGGTGTCAAGCTTTTTGAATGTTGTTGGAGCTGCACTCGTTCAGGCAAGTGGAGAGTATTCCTTCACACTCCTGACTTGTACCTTGGAGACGGTTGACAGGCTTTAGGGAGTCAGGAGGTGAGTTACTCGCCATAGTATTCCTAGCTTCTGACCGGTTTGTGGTGAGTCCAGGTAAGTTTCTAGTTGATAATCCCCAGGATGTTGATAGTGGGGATTCAGTGATGGTTACACCATTGAATGTCCATGGACGGTGGCTAGATTGTCTCTTAGTGGCGATGGTCATAGCCTGGCATTTGTGTGGTATGAATGTTACTTGCCACTTGTGAGCCCAAGCCTGGATATTGTCCAGATCTTGTAGCATTTGAACATGGACTGCTTCAGTGTCCGCGGAGTCGTGAGTGGTGTTGTGAACATTGTGCAGTTATTAGTGAACATCCTCACTTCTGATCTTATGATGGAGAGAAGTCTTTGAAGTGGCTGAAGATGTTTGGGCCTAGGACACTACCCTGAGGACCTCCTGCAGAGACGTCTGGAGCTGAGATGACTGACCTCCAACAACCATGACCATCTTCCTATGTTTCAGAGATAGTAGGAACTGCAGATGCTGGAGAATCTGAGATAACAAGGTGTAGAGCTGGATGAACACAGCAGGCCAAGCAGCATCAGAGGAGCAGGAAAGCTGATGTTTCGGGCCTAGAAGATTTTCTGAAGAAGGGTCTAGGCCCGAAACGTCAGCTTCCCTGCTCCTCTGATGCTGCCTGGCCTGTGTGTTCATCCAACTCTACACCTTGTTATCCCATCTTCCTATGTGTTAGGTTTGTCCCTGATACCCATTGATTCCAGTTTTGCTAGGGCTCCTTGATGCCACACTCGGACAAATGCAGCTTAGATGTCAAGGCCTGTCACTCTTTCACCTCACCTCTGGAATTCAGCTCTTTGGTCCATGTTTGAATCTAGGTTGTAATTTAGTCAAGAGCTGAGTGGCCCTGGTGGAGCCCAAACTGCCGCTGAGCAGGTACTGCTTGATAGCACTGGTGATGTCATCTTTCATCACTTCACTGATGATCGAGAGTAGACTGGGGCGATAATTGGCCGGGTTGGATTTGACCTGCTTTTTATGTGTAGGACATACCTAGGCTACTTTCCACATGTCGGGTAGATGCCAGTGTTGTAACTGTACTGGAAGAGCTTGGCTAGGGCAGCGGCAAGTTCTGTAGCACAAGTCTTCAGTACTATTGCAGTATCCAGTGTCTCCAGTCATTTTTTGATATCAAGTGGAATGAATTGAAATGGCTGAATACTGGTATCTGTACTGCTGGGGACCACTGGAAGATGCTGACATGGATCATCCACTTTGCACTTCTGGCTGAAGATTGTGCAAAAGCTTCAGCCTTATCTTGAGCATTAATGTGCTGGGCTCCTCCATCATTAAAGATGGGCATATTTGTGGAGCCACCTCCTCCAGGGAGTTGTTTAATTGTCTATCAGCATTCACGACTGGATGTGGCAGCACTGCAGAGCTTAGGTCTGATCCATGGGTTTTGGGATAGCTTACCTCTGTCTGTCGCTTGCTGTTTATGCTGTTTGGCTTCACCTATGCCTGGTGCTGCTCCTGGCATGCCCTTTTGCAGTCTCCATTGAACCAGGGTTGTGGCCCTAACTTGATAGTAATGGTTGAATGGGGGATATGCAGGGCCATGAGGTTACAGATTGTGCTGGAGTAAAATTTTGCTGCTGTTGATGGCCCACAGTGCCTCATGGATGCCCAGTCTTGAGTTGCTAGATCTGTTTGAAGTCTGTCCCATGTGGCACATTGATAGTGCCATACAACATAATGATGGGTATTCTCTATGTGAAGGCGGGGCTTTGTCTCCATAAGGACTGTGTGCTGGTTGCTTTTACTGAGTAATGTCATGACAAATGCACCTGTGGCTGGCAGATTGGGAAGGATGAGGTCAAGTGTGTTTTTCTCTCTTGTTTACCTACTAGAGAAGGTGCAAAACTTGACCTACTCTTGGGAAATAAGGCAGGGCAGGTGATTGAGGTATCACTAGGGTGCACTTTGGGGAAGTGACCATAATTGTATTAGTTTTAAAATAGTGATGAAAAAGGATGGACTGGATGTAAAAGTTAAAGTTCTAATTTGGAGGAGGGCCAATCTTGCCTAATACTGTTAAGAACTTTCAAAAGTTGATTGGGAGCGGATGTCCACAAATAAAGGGACGGCTTGAAAAAGGGAAACCTTCAAAAATGAGATAACGAGAGTCCAGAGACACTGTGTTCATGTTAGGGTGAAGGGCAAGGCTGGGAGCTGTAAGGAATACTGAATGACTAGAGCAATTGAGGTTTTGGTCAAGAATAAGAAGGAAGCATATGTCAGGTATAGTTAGCAGAAATTGAGTGATTCCTT